AATTTTGTGTCTCGCAGGAGCATTTAGTTGCTTCGTGCGCTGTGCCTGTGATTGACCGGTACTTCTGAGTACTGATCAGAGTCAACTTGCCCCCTCTACTGTGGCTCGTAGCATCAGGGTGGCAGGGCCAAACGTGCCTCTGAAACATTTGCGCTCGCTTATTTACTTGCCTCGCTCGTGCGTGTCCGTGCGGGTCGCTCAATGTCATAGTGTATCAGACAGTCAGTTTACGTTACGACGCCACAAGGCGAATAACAAAGGAATATAGTACGTCGACTGAAAAAAGCGATTTAAGAGTAAAAACTTATTCATATCATATTTTATAAATAAACTGTGTGTTGTAAGTGTGAGTGCGTTAAATGATGTCCGGCGTCGAGTTCGACGTATATTTCGGCAATGGCGGTGCCGATGGTCAGTACGATTTTGATTCTGAAATTGCGAATCACTTTAAGATAATCACAAATTTACGAAAATTGAAGACAATGCGTGTATTGGTCATCCGGGATATGGAAAAAAATGGAGGTGATCTTTTTGAGGAACTTTACCCCTTGATCAAAGGCTGGGAGGGACAATATCCAGATCTTCGAAAAATGTTCAGTCGCAAAGAAATAGAATGGATTCTTACAGTATGCATATTTGACAAAGATGTGTTGAGCTTTGTGATCAGATCCGGATACAGAGACGAGCCCGAGCTAGACGATGTTGGCAAGCCGTTATTGAGTCGCAGCACACCACTGCATCGTCCAATCGACAGATTTACCGCCGGTGAACTTTTCAAGATATACAATAGGTTCGACGTGAATTACACCGACGAACATGGCTTAACGCATTTTCACGTGGCCTGTAAGTACGAATGTTATGACGTAGTCAAGGAATTCTTGAATCTCGGACAGGACCCAAACTTCCTCGCGCCAAAATCACTCGAGAGCCAAAGAAAAGAAGATGAAGAATCAGTGTATCCACCGCTGCATACGGCTCTATACTGGGGTAGCAAAATAGTGGTGGAGGTGTTGCTGAACAGAGGTGCCGATCCCAATTTAAGCGACGCTGAGGGATTGACACCTCTGCACGTCATTGGCAAAAGACTCAATAACGAGAACGGCTTGGCGGAATTATTTTTCAAGATCAACGATGAAAAAAATCAAACTGTACAGATTGACGCCCGGGACAGATTGGGTGACACACCGTTACACTCAGCACTGGATAAGTACGTGCATAGAAGCTTAACGGAGCTGCTACTAAGAAGAGGCGCTAATCCCAATTCAACCAACGAGGAAGGAATGACTCCTCTGCACTTCATTTGCAAGGATCGCTACGAAGCTGCACCTGAATTGACGGACCTATTCTTCAATGTCAACGATGATATCCAGCAAACTGTACAGGTCAATGCTCTGGACAAGTATGGTCGGACACCGCTGCAATTAGCCGTGGCAAATCTTTTGCCACGTGTGGTCGATTTACTCTTGGATCATGGAGCTGATCTATCTAGCTTCACTTTTCCCTGTGCGAGTTTTTTCGATGAGAGCTTGAATAATTCTAATAATAATTATAAATTGAGGTTAGCGTGTGAAACTCTGACCATTGTCGAACGACTTGAGAAAAGAGGATACGAACTGGACCAAAGGGATGCTTTAAGAATCATGGCAGTATTTGCTAAGCTCGAATTGTTCAAGAAGTCGACGGAACTTGAAGACTCTTCGTACGACGATAGGGAGTTTGTGAAAAAAGCGAAAAAATTGATGATGAAGCCGAATCTATCGCTCTACGATCTAATTCAATTACGACCCGAAAAGACAAAAAAACTATTGCCATACATTGACTACTACTTGGAGTTCACACGCTGGAGTAAATTGTGTATGTTTCCGGAAAGTCATAGAATGGCTTATGCTGTGCAGATGTGCGATATTATAATAAGAAGGTTTTGCCAATCATGGACCCTGACTTCTTTCTTGGAGCTGGTGCGCTATCGACTGCCGATTCTCTGTTGTGACATAATCATCGAACAGCTAACGAGCGAAGATTTATGTAATATTTGCTTCGCAGCTGCAGGCTGGGGCTCGACTCGAAGTGTCAAAGAATCAGAATAAACAAATAAAAAATATCAGCTGCAAGATGTGAAACTTCTTTAAGAGCATTCGATCAAAGTTATTTTAAAATTCAAGTAATTCGACAAATTTCGTTTGAATGACAAAAATTTCAAACAGTCGCATTAAAAAAATATTTATATTATACAGCATATTTTAATTGCTGATTTTCTTGAATTTTTAAAATTTTTAAAAGTTTTTTTCTAATAAAAATTAAAATAAATTAGAATTTTTCTTGTTTCTGTAAATTTTCATGTATACTTTGTTATTTAAATTTAATGCCGGTTTAGAGCATTAGAATGAAGACATTATACTTTCAATCGACAGATAAAGCTCTCTATTGGTATTTTCAAGTTGTTTTTTTTTCAATCACCGCAGCACGCGCGCAACGCCTAGAGCTGCTTTCGCAAATTAAAAGCAAAAAATGAAGAATGTCGATCAAGCAAATGATAATTAGTTGCTCCGCTCCGTGCGGAGAGATGTTTTCTCGATAGACCATTAGGGAGCGGCGCAAAGCGCCTGTATAGCCGTCGAATCGATTCATTTAGAAAGTATCGAGACAAGCCGATGATGTATTATGAGGTGAAATTTCGACGTCGGATCTCCTCTGACCGTACCTGCTCTCCGCGGAAACTCAAAGTTCGCCCTGGGCTTTTTTGCTCGAAATAACGCGTACATCGGTCGGACAGTTGTTGGCCCGCACAATTGCGCGTGCAGCACGCGGTCGGGAAAGTGCGCGCGCGCGTCGAGTATACTGGTATCATCCACACACGTCGGTTCCGCAACGTCTACTCGAAAATTGCGAGTCTGACACGCGTCGGGCGCGAAAATCGTTGCAAAAGAGCAGCAGCAGTAGGGCCGATACGAAAAATGCGGCTGAAATTATACAATCATGCATCTTCGAGCGCGGCGTGCCCATCGTTTAATATTTCTCTCTAAATAGTAAATTATTTTGGTGCTGGATATATACTGCATGCCATAAGCTGGAGAAATGATTGCCTCGGCTTCGAACTCGTATTCTTACACCCGATGAAATAACGAGTCAAGCCACGAGCACACGGAGTGTATCGTATACGTAATCTTATGTAAGAATTGCATTGCCGAGGCAAAGGGAGAAAAAAGGCACGAAACAGAATCAGAGCAGTGCAGCCAGTGCAGATCGTGTCGCGTATATATACTTTTATTTGGTGAATAAATATAGATATATCGGTAAGAGCCTTGCTACATGCAAGAGAAATATCAACGTAGCTCGGCTAAGGTACAAAGCCATAGGCTCTCTTCCATGTGGGTATAAATGTTATATAGACTCGGCGGTGTTATTACATGCGTCCTTGCGAAATGAAAGGGCGAATATATATAGGATTGAACTTTAGAGAGGTAAATTCGTATATATGCCTATGTGTGTATTTTATAATAAGTTTTCTCGGTCAGGTGTATCTGGGTAGTATAGCGTCTACACGTATTATAGCGACGAGAGCCTCTACTCAGCTCCTATTCTATGCTCGAGCGACATTTATATATGGAGCTCATGTAATCTTTTTTCGCTACATATTTTATTACGTCCTCTCGGTAACGCGCTCGTAATATACATACACCTTACATATTCAAATAAAACTAGTTAGTTACGTGTGTGTAGGCAAAACAGCTCGACTCCGTTATTACGCTCGGCTGCCTAGTGTCGCTGGAATTTTTAATTAGAACAACTTGTCGTTATCCATTCTAAAGCCATCTATATTACACCTTCAACTATAAAAATGATATTTTAATTCAAAATTATTACCTGATACCTACTGCTCGACGTTGGGATGAATTTTCCTTCTTTCTTTCCTCGCCTAATTTTCAATCTAAACATCGATACAATCAGAATTCAGCAAAATTTTCGCGGCCGTTAGTCCGTTGACTACAGGAAGTATACAAAAAATGCCGTGCACGCGCGCGCCAAATTGCACGTATCGTTGCCGCGAGAGCCGTTAATTCTTTCACGTAGATTCTAAAGAAAACAATCATCGATCACAGCGCGATGTATGTAACCGAGGCCGATGATAAACGAGATAGCTCGTTACTCACATCGCGTATACATTGTACACTCGACAAGTGGAATGCACCTATATACGCGTATGCATACGATGCTGTTAATACAGTAACGAAAAAGTACGAGTTCGCTCGAGGAACGGCATCTAATCCACGCAAGTCCTGTAGATATTAGCATATACAATGGCACTATACGCGTGTATATTCACTCGATGCACCAAACACCGCTGCTACACTGAACACTTACACAACGACAACCAATAACACTATCCACTTTACGGTTAAATTGTCACTTGAATAAATATATGCGATTCTAAAATGGTCACTATACACACTGCACCACCTTTTTCCGTAAACAAATCTATCGGCTGACCGAATGACCGCGAAAACAGAGATTAAGTATTCAACTTCCGACTAGCGCAACACGGCAGTTTGGCGAATCGCGCGTCGAAACAATGTCTATATGTGTGTTTGTGTTAAAATGTGTGCGCCGGTGGTAGCGGCTAGTGCCGGCTGTGTGCCGGCCGCAGTCCAACGAACTCCGCTTCCGAACGTCACACGCATTCGACTCAATTCGAATCGGCGGTTGAACGAACAGTAGATTACTCGTCTTCTCGAAAGACGATGTGGCTCGAAAAAAGTATTACTTTTATTGAATTGCAGTGTTGGTGTAACGGTGGTCGTCGAACGACTTTTTTTACGTGATAGTCGTAATCTAGTAACGACAATTTATAGTTTTGCATTCGCAAGTATGAGTGAACTCGTAAATTTTATTCATGTCGGTGTAATTGTGGTTAGTTTTGCTTCGAGCCTGCGTTTTTACACAAAAGAAGTAAAAGTAAAAGTTTCAATAGTTATAACGTCTGAATCCTACAATTGTTGCAGGCTCTCGGGGTCAAGGAGTCGAGCGGAGCTCGTAACATGCTCGCACGTTGCTCGCTCGAAATTAGCTGATTTTCGCCATCGACATCTTGAATCGAGCCTAGAGCAGCAGCTGCAGCCGACCCGGCTACGTACGAAGCATCAAAATGGAAAGCGAGGAGCTTACTAAACTCGTCGATGACATCTACAAGGTGAGCCATTTTTCGTTTTATCGCCCTTTGTGCAACGTACGGAAGTACGATTAGCGTCGACATTTTCATATACTCGTAACGAACGGCCCGCGCTCGAATCGCAAACAGCAGAGAATCGTGGCGGTCAAAGCGGCTATAACGAGAAGAGGATAAATCTCTACTCAAGTTCCCGTCGAGCTATCGCGATAGAATCTAAAGAGAGACGTAACGACGTAATCCTCCTTCGCAGCCTGCATATGCACTAGTAATAATGATAATGTGCGCAACTGCATATACTGTAGATGAGCATTATAAGAGGCTACAGTAGTGAGAGTGTCGTGTACTTGATATAGTGTACGTGCGGATACGGGATAACTCGAGACGTACGTCAGGTGTCAAACGTCTTTTTTCAAGCGAACTTTTTTAACAAACTCCACCGCGACGAACGACGCGAATGATTTTTCGATTTCGAGAACACGTGCCACGCGGGAGAAGAGGACGACGTGGAAAATTCATGTTCGAGGCTCGGAGGAGAATTGGACATACTGCAGCAACCCATACGATATATTATCACGAAGCGCAGCGCGCGATATAGCTGTGTTTAGCTAACCACGAACTCTGCCGATAATTAGGTGTCACGCAGCTATTGGCTAAATTATGCCCCTTCACCTCCCGCGTCCCTTACCCCCTTGCCTCGATTCTCGTATATATCTAAATGTGCGATATATGCACGAGCACGAGCCGTACAATAAGATGTATTGTCGCGCGGGTAATCTACTGCTGCCACTGCTACTGCTGTTTTATGGACCAGTGACGCGAGGATTTGCTAGCATCCTTTATGCACGAATTGAAAAACTTGACCTCGACTCTTCGTCGTGCGCAGCGCACGAGCTTTTGGGATCAAAACGGAAAAAAATGTTTTCATTCGTGGTAGAATCATCTTGATGAGTCGAACGTTGTCGAAGCCATTGATAAGCGCTGGAGCAGCAAAATACAACATCAACAATTTGGAACAACCGGGAACAAAACATCGTAGATCAAGGTGGCGGTTGCGAAACGATGCCGTACTGCTGTGTAATCCGCACATTCTATTACACCTGGTGAGCTCTGTACACAAAAGCAGCAGCGGATCGGAAGTCAATTAATTTAGGATACACCGAGGCGCGAAGTGTGCAGCACCGCATATTCTCGAGTGTGCAGTTGCCGCTGTTGCATCCCTGCGCACTGCATAGCAGCGCTCATTATGATGCATGCGCGCCATGCAACGTCGTAGCGGCGGTGGCGCCCCTTCCACTGTCCCTCCCTGCGCTCGCGTATAATACATATAAACGCCCGAATTGTCTGCCCGTGTATACGCGAATCCGTTGAATTATATACGGCGACGCTCGTAGTTGCCACCCTTTCTAGCCATAATCTATATGCACGCGTGCAGCATCTGTCAAGTTGTGGTTTACCAGATTTCGCGGCATTTTTTATTCTTCTTTTGAAGTAAAATTTCTTCAGACACGTAGGGTATGGCTAATTAATCGTACAAACCGAGCAAACGCGATGATTGTCAATATAATCGTAATTCGTTTCTTGTAATTACTCGTTGTAACACGAGTATAGTAAAGGTTTTACCGCTAAATGTCAGTATAAAACCCACAAGTAAAAACCAGATCATCAAAAGTTAAATTTTATTAAAAGCGTTTTTTTGTTACTGAGCCTTTCGTATGTCTCTTCAACTTTGAATAATAATTTTGTTTTTTGCAACAAAGGCTCTCGCGTTCGCAGAAAATTTACCTGCCAGTTGGCACGCACGTTCTCTTTAATTTACAATTGCCATATACCATATCCTGCGCTCGAGCTCTCTCGTGCATGTAAGCCACGTTACAGCATTTACTTATCTGAGTTATTTCAATTGTCATACAGCCGGGCGCGCTTCGTCATATTTTCTCCTTCTCTCCTCTGCGTGTGCACGTGTGTCTAAGCGCGCGCACACGATATTTGTTTCGTGTTCTACCAGCTCGACAAAGGCTAAAATACCTGCACACATGTAGCACGAGTGTGTAGCGTACCTTCAGGTTTCCTTACACGTAAAAAAATATATTAAAATACCGAGTGCGACCGCGTGGAATTGCAGCCCGACTGTGTTTCGAGCTTTCGTGACAGACACTAACGCTGCTAATGCTTATGTTTCAATTAAATAGTAAGCTTTGACTGGAACGCACATCCAAACTTAATGTTCCAGGCGGTTTCAAAAAAATGACAATGTTACAAGGAGCAAAGTGTTGTAATTTACTATCGTGTCGAGCACGTGATTTTGCGTTAATAAATGCAGCATTAAATTCTCGCTATATGCAAGAATGACGAGAATTCGTAACGACTGACGACGAGTGTTAGAAGGTGTTGGTTATGAGGCGCGCGTGCCAAAGCTCGAACAATCGGTAGCAAAACAATTAATCGTCGCCTTTATAATTGCGAAAGAGCATGAATACATATCTCGACTTACAATCAGTCCCTTTGTTCTTTGAATCTTAATAATAATAATTCGCGCGATGTACGCGGCATAATATAGACAGCTGAGTTGGTACACTGTATAGGACAGGAGCGAGGAGGAGGGTACGCGCGCCGAGCATTGCTAGATACATTACGTAGCACCTGGAACTCACGAAGCGATCGATGAATATCATTACATCCATCTCGGCGCTACCTCGGCATACACGCGCATTGTGATCTCTCTGCATACACACGCGACACGAGTGTGCTCGTAATCGTGTTTGAATACAGCATCGCGGCAATGAGGTGATTTAAATACCAAACGAAAACTGACCCTTGGTTATAGGCAGCTCGTGTACACACTTATACGCACATCAGTCAAATCTTCGCCTTGATTACGTAGCAGGTATTAGCCAAAGAAGAAAAAGGGTGCAGAATAGTCGAAGAAAAGGATGCTGTTACATACGCCGATAGCAGCGTTATATAACAAAGATTAGTTGTATTTACCCTTGTTGTTGAGGTGAAGTGGTAATAGAAGAGGACTATTTTCGGTAGCTTTTTGATATTCTCGCATCCTTGCATCATTAATACCTACATAATAAGTAGCAAGAGTTTTATTATGCACCCCCGAGGCGTGCTGTTTTCTTCTCGTTGATTTTAACTGCTTTAAAATTATTGATAAATATATAGAGTAAAAGGCTATATGGGAGGATCTAACGATGCCATTGGTGTTTGTGCCCATCCACGAGAGTGAAGCCGTTAATTTGAATTTTGGATTGGCTGGTTGGAACAGGTTCTGCGAAGGTCACGCGTGTGTATATCAGTCGGTCGTTGACCGACGTATACCTCCTCGAGCTGACACAACGTTTCCTCAAATATCGATCGTCGTCGTTGTCCATACCCCGGCTGTTGAAAAAAAATTATAAACAAAATTGGCCATCGGATCGTTAGATCCATAACTGTACGATGAAATTCCTCGCTAATAATTTCGCTCCTTTAGACATGTCACGATATACATATAATACGCATTGCGCACATGTACGACACGTTAACTACACGTCAACTACACGGCTGCAATGTATATTATGTTCGACTGCTCCATCTGCAACGCGTGACTGAGTTCCCAAATTTCCGAATTAATGGAGCATCGCGTAGCAAAGATTAATATCTCACGAAAAAAATGTACTTTCAAAAAATAATCGCCAATCGTGTTGTGCGGTACACCGGTAGTGCGGATCTCTATACGTGTATACCTACATATGAGTCATTTCACGTCAAGTCTCCTAGCGCGGCGCCCGTGCGGCATTATTAATCGATATTGCTCAATTTGTAACTCGCCAGAAAAGCACCTAAATGCACCCAGAAAAAATATGTGCCATATGATTTTGATAGGAAATCTCCTCAGCTTTCCGATGATGAGGTCAGATTTTCCAAAATTTTCCATTTTCCCCGGAAAAACTTGACATAAACTTTCAAACTCAAATATCTCAAAAACGGCATTTTTAAGATTTTTTTAAATAGTGCCAATCGAAAGCTGAGAAAATTTCCTATCGATATGCAAGTTTTCAGAGAGTACTTTTGATAATTATTCAATGAAATACAGCGACGAACGTGTAAAAACGTGAGATTTTGCGCCGCGCGGGGTACTGCGCGCGGGAACAGCTGCCGCACGGGCCGAAATGTCACGTTTTTACACGTTCGTCGCTGTATTTCATTGAATAATTATCAAAAGTACTCTCTGAAAACTTGCATATCGATAGGAAATTTTCTCAGCTTTCGATTGGCACTATTTAAAAAAATCTTAAAAATGCCGTTTTTGAGATATTTGAGTTTGAAAGTTTATGTCAAGTTTTTCCGGGGAAAAGTGAAAATTTCGGAAAATCTGACCCTACCATCGGAAAGCTGAGGAAATTTCCTATCAAAATCATATGGCACATATTTTTTCTGGGTGCATTTAGGTGCTTTTCTGGCGAGTTACAAATTGAGCAATTTCGATTAATAATGCCGCTCGGGCACCGCGCTAGGAGACTTGACGTGAAATGACTCATATATATTGACACTGCCACACTTTTTTCATTCGAAATTTTCGCTCTCTCTCTCTCTCTGTCTCTCTCCCTGTCCTAACTGTACATTGCGGTTATTACCTTGGCCGCGTGCTCGCTCGCTCGTTTGTGTGCGACCAAAAAGGATGCTGTGTACAGCGATATAAGTTACAGAGAGCTCGAAGCCGCATGTACGCGCGGTTTGCCAAAATAAGCGGCTCCATTGTCGTTGAAATTTAAGACCAACAGGTTCCCAAGGCCATTGCTCTCTTCTCGGCTGTCGAGTCGATTGCATGCGCGGCCGGCACGCCAAACCAATGCAAATGTTCAAGTGCAAAGAACGTGTCTCGTTGCAGCCAGCCAGCCAGCAGCAGCATCACGACTATACTGCGTTGACAATTAAAAGACTCCTGACGGAATAAAGGCCGCGCGCGCGAGAGCGTGATCGTGCTCTCATCGAGGCATGCCATACTCGGGTATAGATCGAGAGCGTACAGAGCC